TTTTTGAAAAATGAAAATATCATTCAAGGATTGCTAGAGGCTTTTAATATATCAAAAGAACCAAAAGATACTTATGGAAACCAGAGAAATAATTTGAAAATAATTTTAAATGAAAAATGATTGTAATATCTTTATATTTTTTTAAATACCCTCCTCGGCATTGACCACCATACCACTATTGATGGCCAGCTATCGGATGATCGTCGGATTCTAATGGCCTATTAAATCTTCCAGGTAGACAAAGAGGGGTTTGAACCTGAGTCACTTTGGCTACCGAAAGGTTATAGAGCCACCAAGGCTCTTAATTATGTTATAAAAAATTTAATATATGTTGTCAATTTATTTTTCAAGTTTCAAATCATTTGCTTGTTTAAACGAGCATATATTAGTTAATTAACAAGTATATTTGTGCATTTAAGAAGCAATGGTATGACAATTAAGAAGTTAAAAAATTTGATAAGGCTTGATTGTAAGAAGGGATAAGTGTAAAACATGTTTTAATAAGCATATATTCATTAATTAATAAGTATCTATATGCATTTTGCAAGCAAGCATGTGTTAATTAACAAATTCAAAAATTTGATAGGGCTTGGTTACGAGAAAGGACAAGTGTAGGACTTGTTTTAACAAGTGTTCATTAATTAATTAACAAACATTCATGTGCATTTAACAAGTAAGTGTGTTAAGTGTCAACTTCAAATTTCAGACAAGGTTGTGGGAAAGAATAAGTGTAAAGTTTGTTTCAACAAGTGTACATTAGTTAACTAACAAGTAGCTCATGTGCATTTAATAATTAAGGGTGTGTTAAGTGTAAGTTACTTGTTAAGAAGTTCAAGCTCTGCCTATTACATTTTCCCTTCCTTATAGCTATTATATGACATCTATGCTGTAGTCAAATCTACAAGAAACAAAGGAAATGTCAACCATATCAAGTATAGAACCTATATATATTTATACTCTATTGAACTCACCTATTGTCTTGTGAGACAAGTGCAAATTGGAAAATAAAGTTTTGGGCCACTTATCGGTTTCTTATCGGTTTCCCTCTTCTCCTAGAATATAACACTAGATAGTGGATCATTGTTTGATAGTAATGGGTCAAGATGGTACACTGTAAGCTCCTTTTGGACAAAAGCATGGTAATATCAATGCTCATTTTTTATAACTGGAGTAAATAAAATGTCACAATCACTTATATTGTGCTTTTTTTTTTTTTTTGCTTCACAAATCTGCTATTGTCAGTAACTTTCCAATTGTCTAGGTCTTACAATATAATAGTCTTTTGACAATGGCAACATATAACAAGTATTACTCATGCAATGAAGATCATAAAGTGTTCAAGTCTTACTATGAAATTTGATAGAAAAATATGTCGTCGAACATCTCCACTTTACTTTTGTTCATGTATCAGCATGTGGCTTATAAAACATACAACCTACAATAGAGATTTTCTATTAGCATTTCACAATACATGTACTTAAAGAGACATAAAATTCATCATCACTTGCAGTTTTACTTAACCAGCTTCTTGAACGAAAGCATTGCATTTCCTCCAACAAAGAATGAACCAATCTCAATGACTTTCTCCTGACCGACATCATTATTTATCTGCTATGTTATGTAGTGATAAAGACGCTCAGCCTCGCTTGGCTTGGCTGCCTTTCCAAAATTTGTCAAGTTTGGTGATTGTATCAAAGGTGTTATCACCCTTTGAGACTTCCTCAACTTATGATCATTATCACTATCACTATCAAAACCATTTCCTTGTGTACTTCCACCTTCATCATTAATAAAGGGAATTAGTTCCCTGACATCCACCACTGATTCCAAGTCTATGTTAATTGTTTTATAAACATTGTCCACTAGTTCTCAGTCCATATTAATTTGTTTCTTCATATTTCAAATTTATATTAATTGTTTTTGTATCATTTATATACTCATAATACTCTTTTCTCCCATATCCTCTATAATATTTCCCACCCTTATATCCAACAATACTCCCTTAATCATAGATCTTATAATATGGCCTTCTCTTTCGCTTTATCTTTCTCTTTTTCTCTCCCCTTGTGGTAGTCCTCCTTTGACTTGCAACCCTTGTTCCAATTTCACAAGTTCTGTTGCGAGATTATGACCAACCATTCGCATTATGTGTGAAAAAATTTTTCTAGTTTTTTTTTGGCAAATAAGATATATATAATGTCAAGCAAAATATTGTTACTTGTACAGTACAAAAACACACGTTTCACTCACCGGATGATTGAAGATTGTCATTGGAGGAATTGTTGGAGGAACCACATTGACTTTCACATCTTGATTTGTACCAACATAACAACATAGAAGCCCTTGCAGATTGAACTTCTTTAATTGAACAATCTCGTTCACTTTCTCATCATTTCAATATATAAGTGGTTTATCTCGTGATGGTGGCGCAACACGAAGCATTGGAAACTCTTGAAACAACAATATCTATATGAAAATAGAAACAACAATATATTGTGATTTGATTCAAATTCAAATTTATATTTTATTATTATTTTTTATAATTTTAAATTCTTTCTAAATCTTTCTTATTGAAATTTCAATTACCCCAATTCTTCTTCTTTTTTTGTTTTCATTAATATTACCTGTATTATTCTCGCCCCTCATCTCATATCTCTTGTTATTTCTCACCAATTGAAAAATAGAGATAAGTTCATTACTTCAAATCTTTAGTTTTTACATCAAATCCTGACTTATTTCTCTTCTACCCTTTTTTCACACTATTCAAATAAAAGAGTTTAAATATATGAATTTTAAATGTAATATTCAAAATCTAAAATTCAAATTCAAATATATTAATACAAACACTAATTAAAAGTTTCAAACCCACCAAAGCATTAATTTTGACCAATTCAGCTTAGTTCGATCAATTTTTTGGGGTTAAATGTCAATTTGACCCTAAATTATAGTTCGGGAACACTTGAAACTCTAAATTCTTTTTTTGGTATATAGTTATTCTTCAAATTTTGAAAATCATGCAATATCATTTTTATTATTAATAAAAGTTAACTTTAACTATTAGTTAACCAGAAAATAATTTTTAAAAAAAGATCTCAAAACTTACAAAAAAGAACCCGAGAAATTTTCATGGACATTTTTTTTTGTAATTTTTAGATCCTTGTCTATAATTTTTGGTTCATTTTCTATTATTTTTTATCTACTAACGACCAAAGTTAACTTTTTGTTAACATTAAAGGAAAATTGTACTATTTTAAAAGTTAAAGAAGAATATTGTAGTAAAAATGAGTTTAAAGTATCTAACGCTCTTGAATTTAAAGTTTAGAGCCAAATTACCCTTAACCCTTTTTTTTGGGGGGGGAGAAGGGGGAGAATCAATTCTAAATTGTATCCATGTGAGACTACAAGCTGATACCATAAGCTAATTCCTAATCCAACTTGTTAAACTGATTGTTTTAATCTAATTTTGACAACATTGATCTCTAAGCAATCTACACTAACCTAATATTAATTTGTCTATTTAAAACATACATTTAAAATTGTGTAGCCACTTGGTGAGCCTAAAGCTAATAATATGAGTTGAGCTTGTAGGCTTAACTCGTCAACCCATAAAATAGTGGCAGATTTAGTTGGAAAAAATGAGTTCATTTAGATGCAAGACAATTTTGACTCACACCGCATAACTTGAATATGCAAGCTGTGGATTAGCCGCATCTTTTTTAAACTTTCCAATTACTTAAAAACAATTTGTTTTTCCACATGTTTTGAGCTTGGGAAGATATTCTTATTCCAAAAAAGAATATACATGTATGGAAGTAAAACTACTAAAAACAAGTTGACAAAGAGCTTATTTTGTTGTCTTCGGTTTTATGCTCCAAGTCCAATGTCTTCTTGGGTCATCATTATTTTTCCCCTTCTGATCATATAATTCATTACAAAATTTATTTTTCTTCCCCTATTTTTGTTTTTGTGATAATCTGGGCATTTCATCATGGAGTGTTATAGAGTTTACTTTGTTATTAATTTTTCCATTACAAAATTTATCTTTTAGATTGTAATTTTAACCTTTTACTATGTTTGTTTGTGATGGAATATATATATTTTTGGATTGTATTAATATATTTTAAATTTGTATTTTGTTTTTAATGAATTAGAAAGACTTTTATTGTTATTTGAATAATTAATATTTAAGAAAAAATATAATTTTTTACCATAAAAAATAAAAAGAGGTGAATTTATAATTTTTAAAATTTAAAAAATTATTTTAAAAAAATTTTACTAGCAACTTGACTTGCCAACCCACTGTGAGTTGGCAAAAATACAACCCTATTGGGATGCGAGTTATGCCAGCCCATCCTATAAAGCTTGCAACTTGCTATAGGCAAACTTGCAACCCGCAAGTTGGCCCTATTACCAACTCTAGACAAGCCCCATATTGTCTTAAACCATAAAGATGAGTTGAGTCAGAAAAAGAAAAAAAAACACAAAAGAATCATGAATACCCTCACCCTATTTTTATATCTCAAATTAATAATGAGATAAAAATATAACAAATAAAGATTTTTGGTTGCTAATATTTTAAAACCTCATAGTATTCTTTTATCTTTAAAAATAATTACATTTTTTCAATATAAATCTTAGATATTTGCATCTTTATATAATAAATGTATTTTATTATTAGTCACTTCAATTCCTTTTTTTTTTTCAAAGTAATTTCCACCTTGAAGCTGTCTTTCCATCAATGACAAATGGGGAAAAGATATTTCCACCTTAAAGCTATCTTTTAATCTTTTTGAGAGTAATTCAATTTTTAATACCTTGAATAAAACATCTATAATTAAATCTCGCTGTCAATATAAGAACCTTGCTGGTGGGCAATTTGTAAATATTTCTATAAACACTCTTCTAGTTTGGAGGTATACCCTGTCCCTGGTGAGCTCTTGGAATCCAACTCACCTAAATTTTTTTCATTAAAAAAAAAATCTTGAGGAAGAGAGGACACCAAGGTGTAATTTTCTTTGTTTTTTTTTACCAGAAGAGAGTTCAAGCTGTTATCTACATAATAAAAACACATATGTAATACCAACACTAGCATTCACGTGTTTTATCAAATACATGGATACCCCATGGGTGGTTAATCAAGTGAGATTGCTGAGAGTCGTAAAGATTTATCAAATGACAAGAAATGGATTTGAAGCTAGGTAGTTTGGGTAGGTATGAGTGCCAATATCTGATTTCTGATGACACCCATGCATTTCTGTATCTCTCCATATATTGGAAGATTCTTTGAACAAAATGGCTGCAAGCTTGTGACTGCAGAATCTAGCACGTGAGCAACATCGGCAGGTGGGAAATGTCTTTCTGTACATTTCTGTTATTGTTTTACAGAGATGGGTCAGGGTGCAGGTCAAGAATTTGCAATAATAATAGTAATAATAATCAAAAGTACCATGTAGTCCTTAATGCAGCAACAATCACTTTCTCAAAAAGTAGAGTGGAACCAGACAAGAAATAATTGGATGCATCTTAATAATCCCAAATGACATTAGTAAAAAAACAAAAACAGTTAGGTACCACAAATGAAATGCGTTTCTTAGAGTAGCCAATCCTACTTTTTGTTATTTTTGATGTTTTGTTACATTAGGAGAGTTGTCATAGTCACAACCTACACCTCATCTCACCCTTGATCACTTGAGCTTGTTCCATGTGGCTTTTTGCTATAATTTTGATTGACTAGGAAAGAGTATTTTACTTTTCATGCTATCATATGTGTTTCTAATTTCCAGAACTAGAAACTCCAGCTTCATCATACACAACAAGGGAGTTTCAATAGTTAGCTAATAGCTGCTATCTTACAGGGATCCTGACCCAGGACACAGTAGCCCCCTAAAGAGCCCCAAAACTTCGTGAGAAAATCTGAGTTAACTAGAAAAATATAGGACATGCGATAATTAGCAGTAACCACAAACCACAAAGTTTGGTATTCTGAACCAGACTTGCTCCTCTAGGCCATCCCCCTCTAAAAATGATTTCATGTCTCAGATCTGATCATTCCATCTTCTTCCACATGGTCTGCTACCAGATAGGATTCAAGGAAACTTTGCACTCTGTAAAACAGAACTGAGGTGAATATTCCTCTTTCTGTCACTTGTAAAAACAACAACAACAACAACAACAACAAGCCTTTATCCCACTAGGTGGGGTCGGCTACATGGATTGCAAGACGCCATTGTGCTCTATCATTTATTAAGCTTTTAGAAATATTATTAATTAAGAGATCACGTTCAACAACTTCCAAGAGTGTTCTCTTAGGCCTTCCTCTACCTCTCTTAATCGGACTCAAAGTTATATGTTCCACTCTTCTCACTGGTGCCTCCCTTGGTCTTCTTTGTACATGCCCAAACCATCTCAACCGATTTTCTACCATTTTTTCCTCAATAGGTGCCACCCTCACTTTTTCGCGTATGTGCTCATTTCGAATTTTATCTTTACGTGTATGTCCGCACATCCATCGTAACATTCTCATCTCTGCTACTCCAACTTTATGCTCTTGCTGTCCCGTTAGAGCCCAGCATTCACTACTATATAACATTGCCGGTCTGATAGCAGTACGATAAAACTTTCCTTTAAGTTTATTAGGCACCTTACGGTCACAAATAACTCCTTTAGCTTTTCTCCAATTAAACCACCCAGCTTGAATTCTATGTGAAATATCTCCACTGATTTCGCCATCATTTTGAATAATGGCTCCCAAATATCTAAACTTTTCCACTTGAGGTATAATTTGATCTCCCAATTTCACTTCCAAATTATTTTCGAATAGTCCTTTACCAAATTTACAATATAAATATTCCGTCTTACTTCTACTCAGACGAAAACCTTTCGACTCCAATGTCCTCCTCCATAACTCAAGTTTGCAATTAACCTCTTCTCTTGTCTCTGCTATAAGAACTATATCATCCGCGAAGAGCATACATTTCGGGATTTCCTCTTGAATATGTTCCGTCAAAACATTTAAAATCAAGTTAAACAAATAAGGACTCAGAGATGATCCCTGATGTAGTCCAATCTTTATAGGAAAATCCTTTGTTTGACCACTAGGCGTTCTTATACTAGTTTTTACCCCCTCATACATATCTTGTATGGCTTTAATATAAGCAATCCGTACTCCCTTTTTTTCCAACGCTTTCCAAAGCACTTCTCTTGGTATACGGTCATAAGCTTTTTCCAAATCAATAAAAACCATGTGTAGATCTTTATCTTTACAACGATACTTTTCCATTAATCCCCTTAGTAGATAAATCGCCTCTGTAGTTGATCTACCTGGCATAAAACCAAATTGATTCTCAGAAATACTTGTCTCCAATCTCAACCTGTGCTCAATTACTTTCTCCCACAATTTCATTGTGTGGCTCATGAGTTTAATCCCTCTATAGTTAGTACAATTCTGAATATCTCCTTTATTTTTATAAATAGGAATTAATGTACTTCTCCTCCACTCATCAGGCATTTTCTTGGACCGTAAAATCACATTAAATAACTTAGTTAACCATCTCACCCCTTCTTCACCTAAACATTTCCACGCTTCGATAGATATACAATCAGGTCCGTTGGCTCTACCATTTGCCATTTTCTTAAGAGCTTCCTTTACCTCCTTATCACGTATTTTTCGATAGAATGACAAATTTTGTTCTCCTTCACCAGTTACTAAATCCTCCAAGTTACTAGATGAATCCTCTCCATCATTGAAAAGTTTAGAAAAATAAGTCTCCCATCTATTTTTAATTTCATCATCTGTAACTAAAATTCTTCCCTCTTCATCCTTAATACACCTTACCTGTTCTAGATCTCTTGATTTTCTTTCCCTACTCTTGGCAATCTTATAAATATTTTGCTCTCCTTCCTTCGTCTCAAGGTTCTTATAAAATTCTTCAAAAGCTTTAGAACGAGCTTCACCCACAGCTCTCTTAGTTTCCTTCTTAGCCATACGGTACCTCTCCCAATTTTCCTCATTGTTACACAAATGTATGGCTTTAAAACAGTTCTTCTTATACTTGATTTTGTCCTGTACACTATTATTCCACCACCAAGACTCCTTATCTCTCGGACCAGAACCTTTCGATTCTCCCAAAACTACTTTTGCAACCTCCGTATCTTTTTAGCCATATCCTCCCATATAATGTTAGCACTTCCCTGAGAATCCCAAATTCCTTTATCCAAAAGATTTCGCTTGAAAATATATTGCTTCTCACCTTTTAATTGCCACCACCTAATCCTTGGTGTTACTACTTGTCGACGTTTTTGGATTTTACTCATAATACACACATCAAGGACTAGGACCCTATGTTGTGTCGTTACAGCATCTCCGGGTATCACCTTACAATTTTTACAAAGTTTTCTATCTGTGTTCCTAACCAAAAGAAAATCAATCTGCGACCTTGAGGCTCCACTTTTGTAAGTGATGAGATGCTCATCTCTCTTCTTGAAACAAGTGTTGGCAATCTTAAAATCATACACCAATGAGAAATCAAGAAGAGTTTGTCCTTCATTGTTTAGCTCTCCAAAACCAAAACCACCATGCACCCTCGCATACTGACCAGCTTCCCTCCCGACATGCCCATTAAAGTCTCCTCCAATAAAAATCTTTTCACTCTGTGGTATGTGTCGAATCAACCCCTCTAGATCCTCCCAAAATAATTCCTTAAGACTGGCTTCTGTCCCGACTTGCGGCGCATAAGCGCTAACAATATTAACAGTCTCACGTCCAATTATCATTTTTAAAGAAATAATTCTATCTCCAATTCTGCTAACTGCTACAACGTTCTTCTTCCACTCCTTATCTATAATGATGCCTACTCCATTGCGTGCACTTACTTTTCCTGTATACCAAAGTTTGAAACCTTGAATATCCTTAGCTTCTTCTCCACGCCATTTTGTTTCTTGCAAGCAAATGATATTGATTTTTCTTTGAATCATAACCCCTACAACCTCTACAGATTTACAATTTAATGTCCCAACATTCCAAGTACCAAATCTAATTTTGCTCTTATGGACTAACTTCTTTAGCCGCGTGCGTCCAGAATGACGCGGTAGCCCTTGCTCATTTAACACTACATCCGGGCGCCGATGCAGCGGCTCTAACTCACTTATCACTGTACTCGAGCCATGCAGCGCGTTACTTACGGGCAACGACCTAGCATTAACATTATAACGTCTATTGTCCATGTTCATGATAGATTCAACAAATTTTTACATTGGCTGTTGATGGCCTAACACAACCCTCCTCCTTTACCCGGGCTTGGGACCAGCTATAAACATAGGCGGAGTTTGTCACTTGTAAAAACGACAAGCTCATTTGAGGATCTTCCATGGATGGTAGCTATAGAGCAAAGGAGGGATTTAAGAGAGTTCTAGAGGCTATCTTCCAATAAAATTTGGAGTTTTATTTGGAAAATTTGGCTGCCTCTGAAATATCTCCTACTCATTTGGAAGTTGCTTCATCAGTCTCTACCAATTGGAGAGGTCTTGCAAAAGCATCATATCAATTGCTCCATTAATTGTCCTCTTGGATGCAGTGAGTCAGAAACAATCAATCATCTTTTCTCACAATGCCATTTCACTAGAACATTATGATTTGAATGCTTGCTCCTGAGATCTAGACATTGGGGAAAATGGTCTTATCTCATGGTTACTAGAGGCTCTTCCTAAGCTTTATCATGATAATATCTCTCAATTGGTATCATCATATTTCTCAATATGATCAGGCAAACTAGAAACTATTATTCATTATGGACAATCTCCCCAACCACATCGTTTCGTATGTTTTTTTGGATTCTATCTTCAAGTGGGGTGCTTATAATTGCACTCAATTGCCAGGTTCCAAATTCAATCACAATAACCTTTTGGTTATTAATGGACTACATGGATGAAGAAGATTAAATCCAAACACTGCTAAATGTTCGATCATCCTTCAACTTGCCTCATCCACCCTGCTTAATGTTCAATTCTGGAAATCAACTGTAATATCCCATTGTCCCATCAAGCTGCGTTGAGAATGGCTCTTTGGTGGATCCTGAATTATTGGCCCTACTTCAACTGCCCAATGAATCATCTCATCAAACATTTCGTGAAGAAAAAAAATTATCTCTGCAAACTTCCTCAGTGGCTCGGCTACCAACACAGTTGTTGAAGACCTCCGCACCTTAATCAATCTCTTTTCCAGCCATAGGATTTTGACTTCTAATGATGACTCCATTTTCTGAATTCTGAGCATAATTTTTCTCCTTGGATATTTAATTCACGTATTTTATTGACATTTTATTGTTAATATAATATTTGCTTCCTTTAAAAATAAAGGTGAAAACAACTAAACATCCACAACAATGGAGGTGAGACTGACCATATGCAATGTTTATGGTAAACGGTAAATTGAAGAGCCACTAGACGTACCTGGATCATCAGCAATGTAGCTAGACATTGAGAAATAAGTTCCGAGGGAATTTTCACTTCATTTTGATCAGATGAGCTGTTTAGTTCAGGATCTTGTAAATGACTACTTGGCAGAGGATTTGATTTACTTGCAATCATCTGATCCTGAGAAACTAGTGTGGCATGAACAGAATCTGTGGGCATGAATTGCGAGGATGGAGCAGCATGGTCATCCACTGAAAGCCGATTATTTATAAAATTAATTGCCTCCTCAATTCCTTCAACCTTACTCTGTGTCTTACTAAAAGATGACATCGCCTGCAATAATAGTTATGAGAAACTATAGTCAGATCCGGAAAATTGACAGTGACATGACTCCTCAAGGATTAAATTAAAATTGAAAGTGAATCATCTAGCAGCTGGTCACCAGTAATTCAGCATACAAACTGGTGTAAAATGTTCACTTAAAATTATTAAAGTGCTTCTAATAAACAAGAAATTGACTTGCGCTCTAACAATCTATTGATCAACTCCTTAATAATTGGTGAGTCAATCATCCAAATGAATCTTCAAATATGGTGATCCAACCATCCAGTGTCATCAGTGGTGCAGGCAAAGGATAATAACACAAAATTTCAAGTATTTGGCATGACCAAACATATTACACAGTAAAGGGCTGAGCGAAGTTTAGTGTTAAGTTCACTTTAAATATGTAGTGCAAACACGCAGTAATTATTCACAAAGTGGGTAACCTTTCTATACCTGAATAGCTGCACCAACCATTGTACGGGCTCTTCTTTTAGAACTTTCAATAATTTCAGCTATATGAGATCGACAATTTTGGTTGTGAGAAGCTGAACAATACGAAGAGCTAGCATGACCACCAAGATCATCCAAATTAGCTGTGGGCCTTGGTCGTAAATTAGAGTTCCCCTGATATGTGTTATGCTGTCTCATGCAAAACAAGGCAGAAGAGACCTGCACAAATGAAATCCACTCATGAAGTTGCAAGTCGTTGAAAATGGGCGGAAAGAAAGATGAAACGAACTTAATTGTGCAATTGAGTGTTAATTATTCCATGAATTCCATGCCTGCTGGTTCACTTCATTTAACTGCAACAATGCTGCAGCATAATGCCTCTTAAACGGCTCTGAATCCTTTAAAGAGTGGTCCCCATAGTTCCGTCTTTCACATGCCTCATCATTCATTTGCTTCAGTTCAGACAGCACAATTTCCTTCACAGACATAAGCTCATTACTTCAATATTATAATAGGAATATTTGAAACGCAGATATTTTTCCTTTGTCATAATTATTCATTAGGGAGTACCTTTTTGTGAAGAGCACGAGCCAGCTCAAAAACAGCATTTGTGCCAGCTTCTTTGGATGGAACATGTTCATGAAAAAAAGCTTTAGAATTTGCTGACAGTAAGGCATTACCGATCTCATTGCAAGCAACATTAGCCTGCAATTTGGAACTTGAAGAGATGCCCTGGAGCCAAAATGAAAAGAAAAGAAACGGACAAAGTAAACTACTCAGGAAACTTTGGCAGGACAATATAATATTAATAAGTTGACTCTACAATACGGCTAGAAGAAACGTCAACAGAAACCAATTTGATCAAATGAGAAATAAAAGAGATTGATTCCATATTTTCGTTCTCTAAGAAACACAAATGTTAGAACAGAAAAGTTGTGAGCTGTCCAAGAGAAACATTTTCTTGGAAAACAAGAAACAGAAAAACATGCATGATCACTATGGGGCGCCTGATGGAAGGATTAAATTATGAGTGCTCCTTTGATATATGAAATGAAAGGGAAAATACAATGAAGTGATTTAATAATGAAAAATAAACCATGAGTCCCTACTTTAAAAAAGGAAGAAAAAAAAATAAAGTAGATAATGACTACATAGGTATAATAAACATTACCAGAAAAAAAAAGTAATGAGAATTTATTCTCTAACACAAACCAAAAGGGGCATTAGTTTTCTCAACCCAAAAAAAAGAAAAAACCTTAAAAATCTTTAGAGTTTTGATTTTATGGCATGAGGCTACCTGAAATCCCGTTCATGTTTACAAATTATAAATTTATGCATTACTATACTATATTAAGCACTATAGTGAAAATAACGATCATGGAAAAGTAATACTGGTGCACACATGCATGATATTAATTAATGTTGTCAAAATAGGGGAAATGGAGGCAAAAGACGTCAGGTCAGTAAAAAGGCAAGAGATGAGAGCAGGTACAAAAATAACACAAGCACAAAGGACAGGCGGGTATGTTGGGCTCGTGCTGAGTAGTCACCAAGACTGACCACAGAGCATTGACGTATAAAACGAAGTGTACCAATTCTCTGTGACATCTGATATCCTATATGGGGAATTTCTTTCTCATGTAGCCAGTTCTGAGAAATTAGAATAGGTTGTATCATATTGTGGTGCAAAAACCTATTAGCACAAATTGGCATCAAAAGGGATTGAAAAAGTCCTATCGCAAGACTCAGTATTTTCCTATTGCGCAATATTTAGCCATAAATAATCGAATTAAAAGCTGGATACACTAATCCTATTTCAGCTCCAAGCATGCATTAAGTCAAAATTACTATATGAGCTGATCTCTACACTCTGAACACAGTTAACCACTCTTGTTTAAAATTCCTGATTGGAAATATCCTTACAAGGAGTTCACCAAATTTCTCTTTAAACTAAACTCTATATTGGTTAAAAAAACTAGTTTCTTTTAAGGTGTCATTTGAAGAGAAAATAGTCTTCTGATAAGAGTTTTTACAAATGTATACTTCAAAGTATTTACAACCATAAGATAAAACCCAAAGAAACTACATTCCGTCTGAATATACATTTGTACCTGGTTCAATAAACTTTTGACGCCATGAGCTGAGGGGGGTATATAAGGAGCATCAACATGATCAAAGTTCTCGCTAGGGAACAATATCCTGTGCTCCTCAATCTTTCCTTGTTTCAATTTCCCATTAAGCTTGAACTCAATAAGGTTGTCATCTAGTTTATCCGGAATCACACTGCGCCTTATCAGAGATGCTGGCATATTTTCATTAGGATTCAGAGGCATGCAGTCAATATCCTGCCACATGAAAATACTTTTGTGACATTATTCTTTTGTTACTGAAAATTAGAAATAATAGGACAAGTTTATAAAAATAAATAAATGATAGGGCAAGGGGTAAAGCTGAAGAAAAGGTTGGTTGAGAAAATTCAGTGAAACAGCCTTTACAATTTGTGATTATGCATAGAATAATCATAGGCTATAAAATTCATTATCTTTTACGTGTCCTGACACATATTGATGGTATTTCAAGATGATAAAGAAAAATGAGTCTTTGTGAAAATAATGTAGGGTTTTCCATTTTGAGCATCCAGCTCATACATGATACATGACTAATGTTCTGATTTCCCACGTTGATTAACAAGTGCAGATGAGTTCCTTCAGGGTTATAGTCTCTTGAACTACAATAAGAAAAAATATACTCTCATGTAGCTATACTTTAAGTGGCATAGCTACCCATATAGAACTACTATAATAAGTACAAGTGTATAGCCTGAACTATCATGTAAGAGTCTCACAGTCTCTACCAGCAGATAGCAATCTCTGAAAATACCTTGTTAGTAGTTGTTACATCAGCTACTTTATTATGAGCAATCAATTTTACATCCTAGTTAAATATAAGAAAATGTTGATTGTGGTTTTTAAGAAAAATAGATATGTGAACACTGTCTAAGGCTAACTCAAGTGATAAGGGTAAGAGATGTAGTTGGATCTTGCCTCTAGTGCAAGTAGTTGGTGTTCGAAGGCATCAACTTTTCTCCTGAGCACACTGGTTCCATTTTTTTTAAAAAAAAATTGCTTTATTTAAATACTTATTATATTTAATTATTTAGTTATTATTTATTGTTCCGTTACAGATAAGAAAATAATCCCAGGAAGATAAGATAGGATTTCTAATTGAATAAATGAAGTAGTGTGAGCAACGAATACCATGATAAATTCAACCCCCAGCTCAGGCTGGTCAAACTGAACCTGACACCTACAGTTGTCAACAGTTAGTACGCTTCCATCTTGAATCTCTCTCGTCTTTGGGTGAATAGCAATGACACGCTGTCCAACAATTAACGGCCTGGCCAAATCAGTTGGAAGGCCTTCCCTGGTACCAGCAAGAAGTTCTGCATAATGTGCCCTAACAGAGTCCCGGTATTGATTTAACTTTGTTTTTTCTTCTACCAAAAATTGCTTAGAAAACCTCCGAGGTCTGCCAAGAGAACTGCACAAGAGTAACAAATACATGAAATATTTTAACAAGAATGACAGGAAAGTCTAGCAGCAAATGCAAGTACAATTAATCATGCCAGACAAAATACCTCCTAATGACCCCCCACTCAATACGAGTCAGTCTAGGAACATGCCCCAATCCAACATGGTCCAAGTACTCCATGAACTCCATCTTTGCAAACCATGGGTAATCTATAGCACTGTAAAACCACTCAAAAGTGCACCATCGCCGAATTTGATGTGAAGACAGGCAATGAATAAGCTTTTCCTGCAATAATGGAAAAACACAACTTTGAAATCAAAGATTGAAATATTCAGCCAACATCTATTCACATAAATGAGGGGTAACCAACCTTGTGTCTTAATACGCTGTTCTGGAGAATGGATTTAATATGTTGACCACTAAAATTATTTTCTGACACCTTTCTATCTTGTTGTATCATTGGTTTTGGTTTTTCCATCTTCCGCCTATGCCTTCCTTTGGTTGCTAGACCCGCTTTGTCTGTAGGTGAAACTTTCATGGGTAATAGCAGCAAATCATCCCTTCCTCCTTTGTCATCATTACTTGAAGACATCATTCCTGGGGGTTGTACCACCTTTAATTGTCTTGATTGTGGTGTAGAAATAGAAGAGCGCTTACCCTTGGCAACAGACTTTGTCACGTTGTCAGTAGCCTGCAATGATGTTGGTACTATGATACTATAAGTGGCGATGCGGAAATAAAGAAAAGGTTGTCAATTTCAATTAGCAAGGAACAAAAGCTCATCACCTAAACAAAGGTTTGATATTACAAATGTAATTCATAATAGATGAATGGCAAGAAGTTTGGTTGTCTACTAGTGACAAAATCAGGAAGAAAACCACCCCAAAAAAAATGAACCTTAGCCCCAATCAACATCGATGTTACAACATTGGATCAAAAAAAAAAAAAAATTCCGTCACAACATGAGTCTTAAATATCTTTTGTGCGAAAAATAAATAAATTCCATGTAAAGCAAATCTTATCTTTATATTCATCATAATGAAAAAAATTACCTCAAACTTGAACATCCACTAAACAAAAGTTAGGTACTGAGACTTATTGCACAACAGTGCAAAAAGCCACAAACGTATGCAAATAAGTGGTCAATCAACACTAACAAGTACACCAACATGTGTGCACAGGTGTGTGTGAACTATAAATGCTTGGTAGGGTTCTTGCCTAGAGCTAGAGGGATGAAATATAACCCTAGGAATAGAAGCAATCAAAAGCACTCAGTTAACTAAAAACTCTGAACACAAGCACAAAATCAATGGATCAAACTTCCAACAATTAGGAACAATGAGAAAAGGTAATAAGGAAACAAAACATTATGTACAAGGAAAAGATATTGATATGTGATATTATTATTCTCCATACGTTCCAACCCCAAATAAAAATAGTGAACTACAAGTAGTATTATTGATAAACTAATTATCTATATTTTCCAAAGCGAAATAGAAAGCCTTCCTGATATTGCATGCAACGTTGTCACTTATTATACTCTGTCCAACATATTACAGCTATCTCCAAGATTGGAATCAAGTGAAGAACTAAATTACATTGAAAAATGAACTAAAATTTCAAACACTTGAGATATACTTAATATATTGGCAGCAATAAGCAAGGCCCTTGCTCAGTAGAATATTAAATGTCAAACATCAAATAAGAAATAAAGAGAAATGATAGCTATTGAAAAAACAGAGCCTCTGTAGCACTTTAGTGTTTCCAACTTTGAAAAGGTTGCATTGTGGTCCCTCTAGATTTAGTGTGTATTTGATGATTTGACAATTTTTTTTGCTGACATGTTACTATCTTTGTTTATATAAATGATGAGGCATGCATCCAGTCAGCAGAAAGAGTGCCACCCCAGCAACATAAATTGCACCAATTTGCCAATTTAAAGGGATGCCTTGTTCAAATTGATACTATAGGTACCAAATTGCAGCTTCTTAAATGCAAGGGGGACAAAAACTGTAATTAATACAAAAGGGGTAAAAAATTATTTTAAAAGAAAAACTACAACTCAAGGCTAGAAGTTTATTGACTCTTACTTTCAATATTGAAGATGTTTGTCTTCTTTTCCTCTTTCTAGCATCAAGGTGGAAGGCGCCTTCTTCTTGAGGAACTAAAACTCCATGATCAGAAGAAATCAAACCCAGTTTACTTAAAGCAGTGCTTTCATCACTCAAAATTGCATGATCGGTTTCCACTTGAGACTCATCAACAACTCCTTGGCTTTCTTCCATCACCCGAACAGGTGACTCTAAACACACAGAAGACAACATATCAAAGGCTCCAAATTTAAAGTATGATGAAAGCAAATAGGTCTTTGTAAACAATGCCAAATTATAAACTGAACGTAGGAATTGTATAAATAACCAAAAGTATACTGCATGAACAAACAATGATAAAGGGCACAGAAAGATATAATAAAAAGGAGCCAAAGTCTAAGGAAAAAAATTGACTGGGAAAAGCAGGAAAACCATGAGACCATGACCTTCCCATGGTTGCCTTAGCTTCAAATCCGTGGGCATTCAATGCATCCTTCAGCATGCATCCTTGGTGTGACCTACTTTATGACAATGGTCATAAATAGCTTATCATATCTACAGGATTTCCATCAAACCCATAGGTGCCGCAAGCAGCTCACTTGAACAGAGTGAGCTGCCTTCTGCCTTCTTCATATCTAACATTGGTGAAAACTTTAAGGACTGGCAGGAGTCGTGTAGCCATAATTCTTCCCCTGACCTCATTAAACTTAATACTCAATCCAAGTAACAAAAAAAGGAAAAAAACTTAGCTGCATTCTTTTTCCAAAACCCTGCATCAGTTACCCATCATTGGAGTTGATCCACTCATAGATCTCGTAGTGTTGAAGTCACTGCCAATACTTCATCAAGGCATTGTAATACTGGTTACCAAGGTATGACCCTGTTTCAGATTCCTTAAGAAGCCTTTAATCTAAAACAGGGCAGCAAAATTTTCCACCTTCAAATAAGCATCTCATATACCATCCCAGATTTTCTTGGCCGAGACAAATGCTTTTCCAATGAAGTTATCATAGAATTGACCAACCATAACATCCTATTATTATTTTCAACAAACCAAGTCATGTCTTTTGGGTCAGAAATGGCAGGGGCAGCATCTTCTCCAGTGAGATATTATAGTTTTTCCGAGGCCCCAATGACTATCAAGGCAACTTCAGGACCAAACAAGGTAATTGTTGCCATTAAACTTATGGCTCATGATGATGAGGAGAAGTTCCAGCTATGGAGGATGAGTATCTGTTTGGTGACATGTCAGGATCAGTTTGGCTTCTCTACAGATAAAACTAAGACTCCATATTAGATTTAAATTTAAAATTAAAATATCACTCTCTCTTATTTGTATAAAGAGAGATAGATAAATACACAGATCTGTAGGTGATTTGCTTTCATAGAGAAGACTGCCTATGATGGGACTGGGTGGCTGTGAAATAGAAGACAACTCCTCTTGAGAGCTGGAGTGATAAGCTCTCATGTTGCTGAACTAGATCACTGGATTTACTTGGGCCCTGAAGGCCATAATAGCATGAAGTAGACCAGAAAAACAGTGCTGGCTTTTTGGTAGGTGTAATTTTTAGGAGATTCAAATTAGTTAGTCAATCAGAGTTAGTAACAGAAAGAAGGAAGTTAGTTAGTTTTAATAAATAGAATCATTAAATAGCCCCATAACAGAAACTGGAGACAGCTTTGACAGTTAATGAATTCTGAGTTCATTCTTCCATCCATCTAATCTCTTCTATTCCTACTTCTTTCTCACCTGTCAATTTTTTTCTTATTTTCATCCAGATAAATCAATCCTGATAGAAGCAGAATATAAACATTGACTTCTTGGACAAGAAAGAAAATAATAAAAAGGAAACAACATAAAAAAAGGTAATGAACGGAGAATTGTAAGAAAACACTCAGAATGCCCAGCAGTAAACAACATAGTCCTAGCAAGATTCTAATTTACTTGGAAATCACCCTTGTGAGGAAGAAGCAAAGAATAATTAGATGAAACGGCATGAAAATATTGGTCCAAACTTAAATGTCATACCGGTGTCAGGGTTTGCAACTGGCATCATCAAAGACAGATCAGCCAAGGCATTCAGAGCATCAAAAGAAGAGCCTTCATCTACAAATAGAGGCATCAAGAGGAAAAAAAAAAATAAATGTGTGATAACAACCATGCTTCAAATCGGAACCAAAGTGCACACTTTAAGGGCAGAGCCAGAAGAAAGGTAAAACATGAAGACAAACAAGTATTAACCAGATGGTGGAAATATAAACAAAATGTAAAAATATTCTCATCCAAATAAATTTTATTTCTTGCTATCAAAAGATAATAGATAACTTTGAGTTCTGTCAAGAAGGGTAGAGGAAGACCGAAGAGAACACTTTTAAAGGTTGTTGAGCAAGACCTTTTAATTAACAATATTTTTAAAAGCTTAATAAATGATAGAGTACAATGACGTCATATAATCCATGTAGCCGAATCCACCTAATGGGATAAGACTTGTTGTTGTTGTTGTTACTATTGCTATCAAAAGATAAGTAGATAAAATTTATCGTCCATTTGATTGGAGGGGAAAGGAGGGATTTTATTCCCCTCCTTCATTTGGTTCAAAAAAATTTCCCTCCCCTCCAAAAGTGGGGGAATTTGGAGGGGAGGGGTCCAGCCCCATTTATTATGACTAAATTAACTTCATTATTTAAAGATATTCTTGTATTGCCCTTATGTGCAACTTAATAAACTCACCTTCACGGGTAATTGCTTTATCTTTCTTCTGAATTCTCTGCTCACACGGATAACAATGGCATTTGTATATTCTTTCAGTAACCAGACCACAAATTCTTTGATTCCCCTCTCATCTCATCAAGGAACAAATAAAAAAATTAAAAAAAGGACAAAAACTATATATCTTTTCCCAGCACGTAAGATGGACAATTCACTATCACTAATAACAAACAAGAAAAAAAGCATATGTTATGAATACTCCTTTTTCTAAAAAAATACAAAAAGATCTATTCATTTATTCAGCCAACCACGTCATATACATGCACACCTGTAACTTTCAAATATAAGCAAAGCACCATGTTTTCAATACATTAAAAAAACATCAATTAAACGTTAACAAAAATAAATAATAATACACTTGTTTTTTTTTATGTATTTTTTAAAAATGCATCAATAAAAAATTTACAATAAATATTAAAAATACATCTATTGTGGAAATACATTTATTTTATTTTTGTAATATATCATAATTATATATTATTAAACATTTATAAAATGAGAGGAAACAACTTAAATGTAATAGGTGTACAACTGTCCGTCTATTATTATTTTCCCTCCCCTGGTCTCCATTTCTAAACCAAAGAAGGGAATATTTAAATCCCTCCCTTCCCCATTGTTGAACCAAGCACTGTGTTAAGGAGAGTAACATGCTAGAAGCTATTTCAGGTAAATCTATAACACACTTTGACAATAATATCACCCTTCATTATCAAAATGCAAAGGGAGATAGAAAAAGAAGATACTTCTCAAACTTACTTCCCCATGTTACTTAAACATCAACAAGAACAAAAGCTGAGACTGCTAGTATTCAAAACATATGAGAAGCCACATGAATCTCATTCACTTTAATCTGAACTCATGCATGCCAAGACATGGCTATCTAGTTCAACACAGTGACTATATTAAGCTATTAATAGCCCCAGAAGCCTGGCCTAATATACTAACATCACATATACAAACAGAGACACGCTAAATGTATTAATACCCAATATCAAAGAAGCGGAAGTAATACAAATTCAGTTCTTGCAATCTTAAATACTTGTTCCAAATTCTTACCTAGCAAATGAACTAACAACTAAGCCCATAAAAGGCAAGTAGTGCTTGTATTGTGTTATCTCAAGCAAAAGGCCAAACTTAGCTCTCGTTCCAAATATTTGGGGAAAACAATAGAAATCTTATAGAACAAAACAGAAGATTTAACAAAAATATTAGTGAGATAATATAACAAAATACCATACATTTCTCATTATTTTCCTATTTCTTAATTAAATAAAAAAACATTCATTCATACGATGAAAGCAATACTTCCATATTAATCCACTGATTAAGAAGTTAGGCAACATATTCAGGAGTATGAGATCCTGTGTTCAATAAAATATACGGCATGCTCTGAGCAGAATTTAAGTTAGAAATAATAAGCCTACTTAACAGCCGCAAAAGGGAAACAACTTAATTAAGGAAATAATTGGAACTACAAAAATACCTTTGAATTACAAAAAACTAAGCCTACCTTTTTTTTCAAGCAATACTTTTCTACTTTCCTTCCTGAGACTCTTGAAAGAGGACCTAGCACTTTTGGTGCCAGCAAAATTAGTGTCTATTTTATACTTGATTAAATCCAGTCCTTTATCTTCATCTGTCCCACTGGAAGCTTCCTTTACATCATCCAAATGCTTATTCACATTTCCTTTGAGTTCGAACTTTTTTCTGCAGTATTTTGTTCCCTTTTCTTCATGTTTTCCTCTTCTGGCATTCACTCTGTTGCTCCGTTGATTCAGTTTTCGAGAATAATCTCCATTGCCACACCCCGTGCTTCCTAAACTCAATTCAGAGGTACCCTCATTCAAGTCAGAATGGCAAAATTTGGATGCTGCTGCTTCTGATTTAGTGTGCTGAAGAACCATGATTGCCCACAGTTAATTGGTTCATCTTAAAAATATCAGATAATACAACTGGACAAACTGCATACCTTCCTCTCGTTATTCTGACCAGGTGATGACATAATGCCCTTAGATTTATTGTTTGGTGATCTAGAAACTTTGGAAGACCCGCCTACTTGTGAAGCCTCTGTCAGTGCTAATGCAATCTTATGAGCAACATCATTACTGTCGACCATTTGCCTGGAACCTTGCCTAGCTGGTGAAAAACGCTTTTCACCAATATCCTTACCAATGGAATGTGAAACAGGGACACGGGAGTTCTTTTGCGAACAGCATGAGAACTTATTCCTTAAAACAAAACCCCAAATAACAATAAATAAAAAAATAAGAGCCTTGATAGAAGTCGCTTTCAAATATAAAAGTAGACACTATTAGAGGAGAGGCAGTCTTTCCAGAAATTCAGGAGCTAACCAAATAATGAAAACAGAAGAAAATTTGTGCCAGTGTATGTGCATCTGACGTGTTTCCAGCAGGAGAAAATATTGTTCTTCCTCAATCTTAATGTAAGAATTGATTTTTAAAACCAAACACAAGTTGAAGCAAGAGAGTGGAAAATGAATCAAAGTAATCTTCATATGCATTTAGAATATCAACCCACCAGAATGCCTCTTCTTCAACAATGACAGGCAACCATCACCTGATAGAACTGAATGTGACTGAGAATGATCTGAAAAATGTCCATCTAATGCTTTATAGTTGCCATCTGAACATTTCTGCCGCGAAGATTTTGAAGGCTTTGTAAATGCTTCTGTTTCTTCGTTGGTTTCTTGTCCACTATCACTTCCTCCCTTCCAATTAAAACATCCATATTACATTTGCATTTGAACCTTTCAAAAATTTGCCCATTACCCATTGCAAATCACAAACATTTTTATAAATACACATTTTTTTCTAAATGTAACGACACTAGCAATACAATTTATGATCTTATGAGTGATCTGTTTATCATGGCATGGGAGGGTTGACAGATCAGTAAGCTTATTGGATAATAGCCCTACACAATTTTCAATAAGTAGGCAACCCTCGTATATTAAAAATACTAGAGGAAAACAAAGAACTTGTTAAATAAACTGAAATACAGGGTGAGAGAATTATCTATACCATAGCTGGAGGCAAGAACAGTCAGGAAACAGAACCACTCAAACCAGCCACAGGAATGTTACAGAAAAAGTAATGCCTAGTAAATATTCAATATAGCTTTAAATTGAAGTTCAAGCTTACCAGTACATTATAATGATCCGTCATCATTGCTATGAGTCCAACCACAGAAGCAGTGCCCTCTGGAAGAGACAAGTATGCCTGAAAATAACCCAGAACATTCTTGGTTTAAAAACAATATACCACATTAATCCATTCCATCAAAATGTGATATTATACATCACCAAATAAACCAAACTAGTGAAACTTAATTAAAAAATGAAACAATTTTTCTCTACAAAACGCATCACAGGAGGATTCCTTTATCATCATAGAGGTTCCCGTAAAGCAATATCTCCTTCTTGTACATCATTACCTACTTCATTTGCTATGAAATTTGAATGTATAAGCTGCTTGCCATCAATTAGATCTAGTTGTTTTCTTGTTTTCTAAGTAAACCTATAAATTTTAAGAGAAGAGAAGAAAAGAAAAAATAACATGCCAGGGGCATAATATATGAGATAAAACGTAACTATATATCAGGAACAAAAATATTAAAAATGAAAAAGTGTTCCTATTTTTCTTTTTAATAAACAAAGAAATAGAAATATTCAATTTCATCAGCTCATTTATTTCCGTTTCATATAATTATTTTGGAAGTATAAATTTACAAAATCCAAGGCCAAGACACCTTAATCGGCTTCTAAATGTAAATGTGCAGTATGTTTTAGAATCTGTGTCTGTGGGATATGCAATTAGGCAATGTGTACAAGTTAATGAGCACGTCAAGGCTATCACTGCACCTACTCGATTCATAGAGTATAGAGCTTCTACCATTTCCAAAGATCTATTATGCACAGCAGCAGCCACCTGTAAGCAAAGGGGAAAATTTCAAGTACAGGACAAAATGTTCAATAAAGACCATGAGCTGAAAAAAGGCAGGTTCAAATAACTAGATACAAGCTTGACCCAGAAACTTTACAAAGAATTTTAGGCAACAGCAAGTACAGGCATACCCCTTTTATAGCAAAACGAAAATCCCACCTTTCATTCCAACCTTAATCAATGAGAAGCACCTCAACACTGACAAATAAACTAACCTTCTTCCAGTCTTTCCCATATTTACGGAAAGCTTCATAGAAACACTCTAGCTCCTCCTTACTCCATTGAGGTCCTAACATGTCAGCCAATTTTCTCTTCTGCATATCATTGAAAAGTAATAATGAACTTTAAAGCAAATAATGCTGAACCAAATTTAACAAGTTACTTCTTTTTCTTAAATTAGAAAACTCCTAATGAGACACCAGAAAAACTATCATGACAACTTCCTTTCAGTTTCATGGAGTGAAGAGTCATAGAGGAACAGTGATGAAAGAAAAGAGGGAAAGGACTGAGACAAACTGATAGAGCCCCTCATTATTTTACTAAGACTTATCAAAGGAAGTCAAAGGGGAAGAATGACTCTAGTAGAATAATGGTAACTGGTCCAGAGGTTTATCCTTCGGTCTCTAGCCGTAAGGAACAGTAGCGTGGGATCTTTGACCATAACTAAGATCTTTTGGGAGGTATGGGCTAGGGGGAAGCCATGCTGTCCATGCTGTGGGTATATTTTATCTTTTTGCTTGTATTGTGGGGATATCCAAAAAGAGAGAGGAAGAGAAGGGAGAGGAGAGACTGGCCTCTCGAATGCCAGAAGGAGTGAACCCTCTTGTGAGGTTTGAGCTTGTAATGTTGTTACTTTTGTGATCATTCAGGGGAGATAGGGTTTTGGCCAGAATCAGAGGCAGACTTGTAACTCTGATTCGGTTTCTCTCAATTTATTAATATCAAAACCTCAGCATTTTCCCCTCATTTATTGTTATCAGTGTCTTTATTGTTGTTTCTGTGGAGATATTGGTTCGGGTCTTATTACAAACCAAACTTCATATTCCAAAGGCGGAACTGCAGATCCTTTAAAATGAGCCCCAACTTTATAACATGTAAATTGGTATAATACACATGCATAATGAAGCCTTTTCAACGCAGATATTGAGAGTAGGAAATGAAATTGCTTTACACTGAAAAACCAAAGTATTAAAGTACAACTTTTGTGTTATCTTATGTTCCACTACTATAACAAGATTAAACTTGCAGCAAATCACTTGGTCCCACCAGAGGATTTATAACATTGGTATACATTAGCTTACAATTACTTCATCTCTCTTAATGAACTTAAGTCATTCTCTCAGGGATACAAAAGAGTAAAAAGAGCCATACTTCATTAATGCACATCATAATTGTTTTGCCTCCTCTTATCATAAATAACTACAAATGCATTGGAAATGCCACAAGGGGGCATATGCATAAAGGCACACAATAAATTATATATCCTACCGTCATCAAATTACGGTTATCTTTCAGGAAAAAGGAAATAAAATAAACTGTACAAGAAGGAAACAAAGGATTGCTAGAAGACACTAGGGGAAATCCAGATTATTCTGGTTCCTGAAAAATACATTAATTGATTTCAAACCATGGTCCATAATACACATTATTATATAATAAAAATTTTGTTAGAACAAAATCTTGACCATTTGGTCTCTGAACCTATCTTGTCATCTCAATCAAGGACCATTTCAGACTAAAAGCTTCAGCTGTTAAGGCTACGCCAATAAATGGTTTATTAATATTTCTAAATTGTCCCTTCAAGTGAAAAGTGAAAACCCTTTGGGCTTAAAGCTTGGATTACAAACAGGCCCCTCATATGTCGTTTCAAAATTAATTTAATTTCAGACAATAGCGTCAGCAAAGATTGAAATTCCAGCTTCTTGATCATGACGATTTGGATACCATGTCTATGGGGCATGTGCAAAGAGGTTGACAATCTTTGCTTAGCTGATTAGTCTTGCTTAATTTGGCTTTTGCGTGCTATTTTCTCTTAGTTTCTTTGCACGTAAACCTATTTATTCTTAATAACATTGTCAAATATCTATAAACAAAAAATAATTAATATTGAGCAACATTACAAAGAGTACATCCACATACATCATGGAATTGCACTTGTAAATTAGGTGCTTTGGCATTATTATTGGAATTTATCTTCAATTGTTATAATCAATTCAAACACCCATGTCAAAATTTCAGTAACTAAATGTGACCACCAAAAGCACAACATGGTCATATTTGCTGGATCCACGCATCAAAGTTCAACCATGTAATCAATCAATCGGACCATCTAGAAAAACAATGGTCAGAGCATTATTATTTTGAATTCAACTTGATGTCTAATCTAGTATCAATTAAAAGTTAACATCACCAGAATGGCATCAAAAGTCAAGCTATTTGTTAGGTGCAAGGTATTAATGTGGAAATGAAGAAATTGTGTAAAAAAATTCCAACACTGGTATATATATACAAGTGAAATTCTTCCTTACCACCTACTGTAGTGTGCGTATGTCTGTGTGTAACCACAACATGACACACAGGCTCTCACACACACATACACACATAATTAAATAGAAAGATCAACAAAAAAAGCACCAACATGCAAGTTAAGCATCAAAGTTTCACACATATGATATTTTTCCTTATTGTAAACAAAGTTATGTGTAACAATAATTCTTTGTAAAGCAGTTTAGCAGCAAACATACCTTCTGAATTCCTGGACTACCCTGCGGCCTAGTCTTGCTAACATTCTCTGTATTTTTATCTTTGTTAGTGACACTTTTGGATTTTCTAGATGGAGCCATGGGTAATGCTTGGTTTTCTGAAATTATCAGAAAGAGAATATAAGGAAAATCACAATTTTCAAAAGAAATCAGATATAATGAAGTAATTATAGACTTCAACAACAATTAGTCAGTTGCACTAAGCCACAGTAAACACAGGGAATTCGATGTAAAGAAGATTTTGTACTTGAGAATCTAATGTTTGTCGTAGACGAACGACAACTGAAGCAGCATCTCCTGACCATCCAAAAACAGGGTTGATGAGAAATCACAAGTTCAAAACTCGAAGTTGCTTGCCACGAATCAATGAAAGACAAGAAGAGTACAAGCCAATGACGAAAATAGAATATTTAGCAGGCAGGCAGTTGCCTTCACACTACCCAAAAAACACAGTTTGAAATATTGAACATATAATCAGGAATCTGCAGCTTCACTAACGAATTTATGATAAATAAACATTAGATACAGCAAGTTGAAACACCCTAGTCCAAGTTCTGCAACCAATTGATGTGTCATTTATGTAGAAAATAGTTGTCTCTCTAATAACAGATCAAATGACAGGAGAGGAAGCATATATTGAAGCTTCAATGCCAAGTCCGAGCTGAGAACCCTGATAGAAAAATCACTACTCGTCGAGTTGAGAGAGAGGGAGAGGGAGAGAGTGAAGCAAGGATTGCTGCTACACTAAATTTGGCAGCAGCGAAACAAGTAGAAAGAGAAGAGTTGCGGCATCTCGAAGAAATAAATCCATGAACATAACCTAATTGCATACAGCTTTTAACGAAAATCATCTCTGTAGTCAAAACGCTTCCTTTTGCTTCAGTTTACGTCCATTGAAACCCGAAACAGCGCGAAATTCGAAATTTAGAGACTTTGCCTTTTTATCCCTCTTGATCTAAGTTTTCTCTGCAAGCATATCAGACTAGAACAATCCAGAAGATCTTCCAGAATTGAAGTTTCCGACTTTGACAAACAAAAAAAAAGTCCTGCTTCCTGAATCACTCAAACGAATTGAACATAAAAGAAAAGTGAGCATCATCGAAATGCAAGCTCACCTATTCGGCGAGCCTTCACATCGAAGATTCGAAGCAAGGCTGTTAGATTAGAACGCGATCAAGTGGCGGGAGAAACTAGTGACATTGACAGTAGTGATGATTGTTTGATAGATAGAAAAAGTTGAAAAACCGCGATGAAGGTGTTGGTGCTGGCGTTGGGAGTGCGATTGTAAGTAATTATAAATTATTAATTATCAATTCGTAATTCGTAATCACCCCTTAACGATAATAAATTCCACGTCATAACCCCAAAACTGAAAATATTTTATACTCACTGCAGTTCAATTTATAAAATAATTTTGAAGATAATTTGATATCTGAAAATATAAATAATTTGATAAAAATAAAATTTTATTAAATATAATTTTTTAATATTATCATTCTCCCCTTGTTATATTCTTTCCTCAATCTTTTACAATTATTAATTGAAGGATATTTTTAAAAATTTATAATTATTTTTTGAAAAAAATAATAAAGTTGTAAAGTGTATTCCTCCTATTTAAAAATATAAATATTTTTAATTAAATTTTATCTTGATAAAGCAGCTATTTATTTTTAAATTAACACAATCTTTTTATATTTATCATAAATGTTTCACTCTAAAATAAATATAAAGTAATTTATTCATTAAAGATATTAAAAAAAATGCGATGATAAAACTTTGAAACATTAAAATGTGTTATATTTTTTAACAGACAGAATATTTAATAAATTTTAATGATATATGTAAATTTATCTAAAATTACTCCTTCTAATCTCTTTTACAAGAAACATTCAACTAAGTCACCAAAATCATTAAATTATTGACTTTGATTAAAATAGAATAAGTTTTTAATTTTATCTTTATTTAAAATGAAAATTTTAAAATTTATATTATATTCTCTCTTATAATTAATGGATTTAAACAAGGGTTGTATTCAAAACATAATTAATATCTTATCAAATATTTTCATTATATTAATCCAAAGAATCTTATTAGAAGACATTGTATAATAGATATTAAGATGAATATCTTATAAATGGAATGGAGGTAGCATTCAAAATAGTAATAAGAAATAATGATAGTGAGATCTTAGAGGCTAGAACATCAAATCAATAGCAATTAGATATTGACTAAAATCTGAAAGGAAAAGTTGAAAACCCACAATAAAGGTGTCAGAATTTGGAGTGTCTTTTTACATAGTTAATTCATAATCATCCATTAACAATAATGTATTTCATGTCATGACTAAAAAATTTAAAATAATTTATATTTAAATTAAAAATAAGATAAAGGTACATTTTTATTTTTAAAATATTCTCTAAAAAGCACTCAACACGCTAATCTATTAGTTGAAATAATTTTGTCTTTGAAATAATTAAAACAAGCATTTTTCCCCTTATTGTCAAATTTCCAACATTAATAATTAGAAAATGCTAACTAGGACTCTAACATTGATCATTAGAGAATTTAATGGCAAGGGCAAAAATGATCCATTTTAATTGCTTGAAAAATAAAATTGTTCCAACTAATAGTTTAAAGTGTTGAGTGCTCCTCAAAAAATATTTCAAAGGCAAACATAGACTTTTACCTTTAAAATAATAAGGAAGAATGATGATTAAGCCATAGGACATCAAATTAAATAATTAAGGGTAAATGAGCAAATTACTCCCTTGAATAGCATCATAGATCATAAACTTGTTTATTGTGCAAATAGTAAGGTTATTCTTAATAAACCAACATTTAACTAACACATTGTGTGAAATCATAGAATTAATCCAAGAGGATTGAATATCGATGGTTAACTTTTTGCAAGTATTAAAAAATTTAAGGGTATTTCTTTTAAAAATTGGGATTCCAAGTTTAAACTTTATAAAACACTTCAAACACAACTTTATTAATTCTAAAATAAAGTAAAAACAAATACAAAAGCATGGAGTACTATTTGACAATCAAAACACCTCAAAAATAGTTGAAAAATAACAAGTGAGAAAATGACAAGGGAATATGTCGTGCCATGTGCACATGCACCACAACTTGCTCCTCCATATGTTATGTGCCAAGGACGCATTGCATAGGATCTTAACAACAATTTTTGTCATTTGACAACAGTCAAGGGCAATTTCTAACATGTCCCATTACTCCATTCGGTATCCAATTAAAGTGATCTAAGTTTTTACAAAAAGTTCCTTTCATATAATAGCTATTGGCATAAGTTTTACTCCCAAATAATTTCACACGAAAAAGTTGAACACTCAAACATATTTTCAAACTTTTTCACACTTACACACAAACAAGGTTGTCCAAAATTTAATACATGTGCCAAAAGCTTCACTTAACACCTAGACTATACTTAATGGACTTAGGACCACCTGTGCAATACACCACAATTATATAGTAACACTTAATTTTCATTTTCAACCATCAACCCCTCAATGTCAAAAACAATAGGGGGAGGTCCATCATTGCATTTAATTAAAAGAATTACATAGTAGTAACATTTTAACATCACTACACTTACACGAGTATTTTGACCTTTTTGAAATTTACCACATGCTTACACAATAATTTTAGGATCCAAAATACAACCAATCAATTATGCATTAATAATTAGTGCAAGTGCAAAACACAATGTTTTCTTAATTGGAAATATCATTGAAATTATACACTCAAGTCATAGTTTAAAATCAAGGAGACAAGGTCTAAAAATGGGACATGTGCCATGGCATATGACACAGAGCCACAGGCTCCCCTTTTTTGTGCCATACGCTACAGCACATGTGACAGTAATTTGACAGTTTGCAGAGCAAACTTTTGGTGTGTGTTATTTTCACTTATGATGTTTGATCGGAGTGATTTAAGTGCCCACATGAGGCTTATTTCATAAGCTAGTTAATGAGAAACTTTGAACATGATCCAACAGTTTGATCAAAATTTAAACATTTAGGTGCAAAAAGTTACTTTTTAAATACTTAGGTACACCAAAGCGTTCAAATTAATCCTTTAGTTTCATAAGACCATTCGAGGCCTAGAATTAAGTCCAAACGGACCTTTCACATCATATATATACATAAATCAAGATTTGGCCGCTCAACAGCCTATTTTCCTAAATAAGAACTTTCCTAAAATATCACCACAGTATAGTTTTTAGGCCAAAATCTAATTCATTCACTACATATTTACCATTAATATTTTCACAACATGTTTATAGTTAAATCTTAGCCCATGTTGTTCATTTCACCATATATTTATACATAAGGCTAAGATTTATAAAATCACTACAAATTACAACAATTTTAACTAATTCTTAGCCTATTTCATATAATTCAACACTTATAAGGCTAAGATATACAATCATTACAAGTCATAGTTTAAACCATGCATAAGTCAACTTATGACAACTTTTCATTCTACAATATACCAAAAAACAAGTTCATTACACAAGCTCAGAGTTTGCTCGGCTTTAGCAATACTAAGCTAATTCAGAGTCTTTCCCTTCCCCCAACTCATTACTTTGACCTATAAAATGTAACCACGAGGTAAGATAATAATCTTGGCAATAGAATAACTCACTACTATTAATTATCACAAGTAACTATAAGCAAGTATTGCATAATACACTTTTAAACATAGCTAATAATAAAATATTCACTTCATCAATATTATATTTCACTACTATTCACCACTTTCATAAACATGATCACTACCATTCGAACTTTCAAATCACCATGACTCAAAACTATAAGCTCGCCTTAGATCAATGCATACACTTATTAGCCCTGAACACACCTTCAATGATAGAATCACTCAACTAAAGGCATTCTATCTCACTTTCAGACTATGGTTTCTCCTATCACACATAATGAGGTGTTGTTGGCTCCAACATCGCATCACAAATGCTAAGGGGCCTAAATTTCTAACATTACACCTTATATGGGCACTAAGGTGATAATCTCCAACACCGCATTTCAAAAGGTACTAAAGAGATACAATTCTCCAACATCGCACCCCGTGAGTATTAAAGAAAATATGCCATATAAACTTTTACTACTTCTCCTTATAGGTGAACTCTCTCTCCCTATAATCATGCTTTCGCATAAACCATATATCCACATGTATAAAACCATGTACACATACATATATAATCACAAAAATGCAATTTCATAAACTCAAATCTTTAAAAATTGATTTCATGCATTAAATATTCACTTAGTAAATATGCTCATTCTAAAACATTTTCAAGCAATAATATTCATACTCTTAAACAGTTAAAATAGATGATCAAGTAAAGAAAATTATTCGATTACCTCAACTTTTTTGTGATAAGAAAGGTCACCCGTGGATTTCTTGCACGACTATAGTCACCACACTAGCTCTCCACTTCAAGTTATACACATATCACAATAATCTACATCAAATTAGTACTATTAGTCAATTAATTAAATTAATCAAAAGTACTTAATTATTACTTAAAGCTACATTTAGCCATCTACTCCTTTTCACTTAGTCAATTTAGGCTTATTATCACTTAATTGTCACTCTTTATCATTTTTCCATTTCACTTCTACTAAGTTTTCACCCTTTTTACCATTGATTTATGGCCAAATGAAGCCTATAGCTTTAAAGCTTTATCGTTTAACTTTAAACCAATCGCAAAGCCTTAATTTAACCCCCAAGAGCCTTTTCATTATTAAAGGGTAAGAAACTAACCCTTTAAATTTTCTTGATTCAATTTTTCTATAAATTATACTAAGAGAAATTATAAAAGAATCAAAGCTAAGGATTGTATGAGACTTACCCAATAAGCTACCGGTCGGAAATGCCTTCCAATACTCTACAAATCCTTGTCCTAACAGAGAGATGGCTTCTCCTCTCTTCCTTTCATGCTTCCTTTCCCTTTTTTCTCTGTTCTCACAAGCTGTCCATGACTTATCAAGTCATTTTTTATGCCATGCACTGCGATGCTAGTAGCTTGTTCTAACTTATGGCACAGTAAGGAAAATCCTCACTACACACACACACACACACTCCGTTTTAAGACTTGATTCTTCCACCCTTATCTATTCATTCAATATCCCAAAGAATCAAAACATCAAGTTATCATCCAAAATTCTAATCACTCTGTAATTATTAACCCTTGATTAGTAACTAATTGCAGG